AAATGATAACTTCCAAAACATAAATACTTCCACTGACACTTATAGCTAGAATCTCACATTGAGAAGGTGGAGGGGCCAGTGAGGGCATACTTCATACAGAAAGCATCTGCATAGAACAAAGGTGTATCCTGAGAAGTGGTACCCAAGTAGGGAAAACCACACTCCATCCAGAACAGGTATGCTCTTCACCCAGAACTACAGAAAAGTTAAAAGGGTGGAATATTACACAAGTAAGTATGATGGCCCAACCATGCAGCCGAGGTTCCACAACTCTGGGCTGGATTTAAAGGGTCATGGTACTCATATTCCCTGTTGGTGGCAAGTGCAGTAGGACCACAAATATATACATATCTCTGTTATAGGATCCCCACCAGCAGCCACTGAATGATGCATTTGGAACAACTGGATTAATGGAAGAAAGAAAGCAACACCAAAGTGAACATTCCTTCTGATCAACCTGATGAAGTCCAAAAGGCAACATCCCAGGCCTGGATTGATGGGATTATATATGGCATACTCCACCCAAGGTCTAGAACTCATCCGGGTCTGGATATACGAACAGTCATTTCACTCCCTAACCAAGTGGGCAAGGAGAATTCCACTTACCCATGGAATTATGGAGAGGACAAGGAACACTGTTCCACCAAGGGCCTAAGATAGGACCACATTGCATTCGGACCTGATAGTGTTCATAAGAGGGTCCAAGCACACCCCCACCAGATAGCTAAGCATCAAATCTGGACCAGTTTTATGAGTAGGCTCCTGCATAGGTCGGTCCTCCTCCAACTAACATCTGGGAACACCAGGGATCCAGGTAGGAGGGTCCCCAACTTTGCCCTCTTCTACAAGAGTGGAGAAAACTGAATACTCCAAAGGAAAATCCTCTGTCCACCACCCCAGTGACTGAGAATTGGGTGTAGTAAGGAATCCCTAGCTCCACTAATAGCAGTAGGGGGGAAATGTGTGAAGTGGGGAGTCCTGAGGAACAAGTCTCTAGAGACAGTACAACAGGTGAACCATGTTCCTTAAGTTTTAAAACAGGGATTTGCAAAATCCCCTTTAGCTTTACTCATGATAGTCAATGAGTAGTGGTCCATTGGATTTGTATTGTGAAATAATACTACTATGCAGAATTGCATCTAGATGGTCATATGGAACACCTCATCTCAACAGAGCCTGATGCAACCAAGAGCCGATATAAAAGTTGCTAGTGCAGAATTGAAAAAACACAAGCACACCTGACTGGGCAACACTTGATACTGAGTTGGATCCAAAGGAAACAATAAGGAACCCTAGAAGGAAAAAGAAAAACTGTTAATCGGGTAGGAAAGTTACACACTTCCTTGTTAAAATCTAGCAGAGGTAGTCAACACAGCCATGAGAGGGGGAGAGGATGCAAAAATCCACAGAAGAGGAAACTGCCAGATTGTGAAGATAATGAGATGGGAAAGTGTTGGGAGAAGTCAACATACCAGCCCCCAAAATATCCCCCAGAGAATGGTTCAGACGAGCAGACAATGACATTGATAGATGCCAAATCTGGTGAGAAGTGATGTGGAGTACATTTCGATCTACAACAAATAACCCCGAATAGGCTATAGGAATCAACTCCTGAAGCCCCCTGGTTAATGTAATGGGTGATAAATCCAGGGACACAGCAGGATCCCACTAAATAAGAAGCCAGTGCATGGGGCCCCTGAACAGTTCTGTACAAGTCACAGAACATTAAAGTGCTCTGACTGGACACAAAATATCTGGGTATGATAGACTGTCAAGATGAGAAATGCCTGGGAGAAGAATAGGAAAAAAGAGTGTGTTCAGTAGGAAGGATCTGTCTGGATAGAGTAAAAAATAGGTGGAAGAATAGAGTCTGCTGAACAGGGATGATAAATAAATCAGAATAGCTGCGTCCAGAAGCTAACAACAATAGAAGTATAACTCGAGGGAAGGGTGATACAAAGAACAGGAGGCTATAGGTTTGAAGGGATAAAATTATAACCCATGGAAAAACATCCAGGTGTTGATTGTCAGACTGAGGTTGTCTCAACAAGGATGAATGAAGAAGTAGTGGTAAACATTCCTGGAGCAACTGAAGAAAAGGAAACCATGTCTGAGCAGGCCAAAAAGGAGCTGACAAGAGAGCCCAACATGGGGGTGAAATGAATCATACACAAAAGTCTGGGTAAGAGATGAATAGGAGGAAAAGCATACAAATGGAATCCTGTCCAGTTTTGACTGAAAGCATCTATCACCAGAGTTTGTGGATGTGGAATTGGAGACCAGAACTGTAGGCTAGCATTCCAATGTGTTGCAAAGGTGTCTATCACTGGAGAGCCATACTTAGAACAAATCCATTGAAAGACCACCTGATTGAACCATCCATGCTGGTGGAAGAATCTTATGGGGTCGAGAAAGGTGATCTGCTAACAAAATCATAACCCCTGGTACATGACAGGCCAAAAGATGGATGTCATTGGAATAAGCCAAAAAAGAAGATCCAAAGCCCGAAAACCAAGACATCAAGGATGAGAACTTCCCTGACAAGAAAGATATGAAACCACTGTGGAGTAGTCAGATTCAATCATGACCATTTTGTCCTGCAAGAGAGGAAGACCTGGAATCATTGTTAGATGTACTATAAGAAGTTCTAGAATGTTGATATCAGAGTAGATTCGTAGTCAGTCCAAATACCCTGGAATGCCTACCCCAGAAGAAAGGTACCCGATCTGTGAAGATAAGCATCCATGAAGAGATGGATTTCCACACAAGGACGTGGTATCCAGACCCTGATGTTCATGTTGTTCCTGTCTAGCCACCACTTGAGATCTGCAAATTGTTTGAGCAAAGAGACTGTGTGATCCAAAGGATCAGTATGCATGAGTCATTGGATGTGAAATGACCACTGTAGGGATCTCATATGGGCCTGATCCAATGAGGGATTCTAGGGAAGCCCAAATTCCCAAAACAGACAGAGCCATCCATGCAGTGGGAGAAGGTGACATAAGCAAATCCCAGACAATCCCTTCCGTAGCATGAAGTCTGAAAGGAGAAGGTTGAGCTAAACACAAAGTGCATTGAAAAACACCCCAAGATGAACCATGTATGAAGTTGGTGAGAGAATGGATTTTCCCACCTTATATGAAGTCTGCCCTTCTGGCTTCGGAAAGGAAAATCTGTGGATGTAGTGTGGCAACGTGACAGGTTGGTGCCAAAATAAGTCAATCTTCCAAATAGTGATGTGTGCACAGACCCAGAAAATGAAGATGCTGCTCAAAGACCTGTACTACTCGGCAGAAAACATATAGTGCTAAAGCAAGTCCAAATGGGAGAGCTTGGAACTGCTACATCTGGTCCTTATGCAAAAAATGTAGAAATCGACTCTGCTATGGGGATGTGAAGTGGCATTGAAGTTGAAGAAAAGATACCATGGTGAAACGAGGAGGCTGTAGGAAGAGATTGAGTAGAGACAGATTGATGATAAGACACCAATCTCTAGTGATCTTGGTCACCAGAAAAAGATGAGAATAGATCGACCTTCTGAATAGGTAGACACCGATGCCACTGGCACCATCCCATCCTTCCGAAGATCCTCTAGAATATGGAACGGAACCAATTCTGTAAACCAATAAAACAAGGTGTTGAAGGTGGGGGCCATGAGACAAGAATGATCGATCCTCCAGAATTACCCATTGGAGTAGAAGAAAGATGAGCAGCCAATGACAATAAAGAAAACTACAAATGTGTCATATAAAATCGGGCTTTGAAAGTTTCAGGGACTCTGGCAAACTTGTAAGGGCAAAATAGGGGCGCCTCCCAGAAATCACAAAGAGGAGTATCACAATACAGTAATAAGAGGTAAATGAATCCCCAAAAATGGAGATCTGGTAAGAAGGATAAATTCTAACCTGTAACCCCGTAGATCCTACAACAAATCCAACTGTTGAGTGTCCATATATACTATAGCCAGATCATGATAAGCCAGGGTATGTTGTTCTGATAAACGAGGGGGAGCATGGTATATCAATATTCTCTCATAATTGCATTGCAAACATCCCAGCATACATGGCAATATCAGGGGAAGAACTAAGTAATCCCCCGAGATCTAGCTGACAACAAGGCAGTGTAGACTCAATAACAAGGGTTGAATCCCCAAAGCTTCATAAACTTGAGTAACTAACTGCAGAAAAGAGGCAGAAGGTGGCCAATCAGATGAGCCCTTAGTAGAGGCAGCTCTAGTATAAAAAGGAGCAGAAATTAGTGTCTAAATTCTCCCCAGTACATTCAGATTCATGATGAATAGCCAACTCTGAACCCCCAGGGAAAACCCTCGGGCTGCATGAAGAACTCCAACTCATTCCGAATCAGGTCATGGACAGCCTCCACCAAGAGTGGAGTTTCCAGGGGAAACACATCAACTAGCTTGAACGAATTTGTAATGGCTCTTGTCCTATAGTTAGAAAGCCAGAAGATCTGCGATAGTAATGGGACATTGTCTGCTTTGCATGTTATTATTGGATGTTCTCTGGTACACTATTTAATTAAATAAAAATTATTTAGTGCACTACTACCATTAGTATAAAAAAGTAGGCTTAAGTCTCATCAACAGTCAACAGGAAAGAAAAAGAAGGCCCAGGTAAGTACTTTATTTCTTGTTTTTGATGTGTATTCTTTGTTTATTATTCAAAAACTTATTAAAAGTAACTAAAACGTAAAAATAGGAAACTTATGTTAGTTAAGGTTAGATTAGGTAAAAACAATAATATAATAATTTTTCAAGAGGCACCCACAAGAGCAGCTCATGCGTAATGTAATTCAATAGCATAAAGAAACCCACACATTCCCCAAGTGATTGGCAACTTATACTAAAATGGCGCAAGTAGTGTTAGTAGTTAGACATGGTTCAAAGAGCAATAAAACACTAAAATTTAAGTATAAATAGATGTTTACTGTTAAGATTATAAAGCTACTTAGTATTGATAACTGTAGTTTTGTGTTACAATTTGAAGACATTCTAGAAAGAAAAAATAGGTTAATATAGATTTATTTCAATTGTTTTGGGGTGGTTATAAGGTTGGTCAAATTGGCCAACCTTGTATAGAGGTAGTGTAAAAATAATAACATACAAAATATAAAGTTTGAAAATGTTTGAAATGTATTTAGGATTTAGAGATTATGAAAATGAAATTTGAGATTTTTGAGATGAAGAAAATTATATTTAATCTTAACATGAAAATCATTTTACACTTGGACTAGTCAGAAAAAGGACTTGATATATTCACAGACAAATCTTTTGTAAACATATTTCACTAAAAATCTGATATTTTGTATATAAAAAAAGTCTTTTAATGTTTAATGAACGTCTGCCAAATTTTGTGAATATACACAAACTATATTTAAAGTTAGTAGTATCTAAGCTATAATTAGTACAAAGTGGTCACATGTTCAGTCATTTTGACCGAGTCTGTGTTGAGAGAGTTAAACAACTGACCAGTTACTAAAAAAAAAGGAAGAATACATCGAATCTTTCATGACCAAATATGTAAAGAAAGAAATGAAATATCAAAATAATGTTTTTTTACTTTCTTTTTCCAACTTTTGGTTGTTGTTTTTGCACATTAGTCTCCTATAAATTTTGGAAAACAATTTTTTGTACCTTCTAAAAGTAGCTATTAAGTATAAATTTTCTCATGTACTCAATAAAAACATTTCCTGTGAAATTTATTATTCTTCCTTCAGTTTATGATGCATCTACATTGTTTAAAAAATACACATGTTGTATAACTACTATATAAGTAAGCAGATTAATATGGAATGGCATTTCTACCTCAGAAAACTGTGTGACTGTAACACATCATGAGGTGTTTACCACAGTATTGTTTACTTGAAAGTGGTTTTATTGTAAGTAATATAAAAAAACACTTAATAAAACTGAGTACTATTTGCTGCACATTCACACTGGAAGTTGAGGACATTGCAGCCTGAAGTAAAAACTGATACATGCTTCTCTGTGAGAGAAAGCTCAATTTAGTAGCTGAAAAGGATTTGATGTGTATTGTCAGATTATTCTAGATTAACTCTGGATGTGACAGATTATGTGTAGTACAGATGTAAAGAAATAAATTCATTAAGCACTGTTTGCGCTTCTGTCTCCATCTCAAGATACTTGAACAGCAGGAATAATAAGGCACATGATATACAAGATTATTAAAAATTGTTAATTTGAAAAGGGGGAACAGGGATCTTGAAAAAATCACAGAAGCAAGATAAGAAGCTTAAAGTGAAACTGAAATTACAAAAAATTATAAAAAATCACTGAGAAGAACATTTGCATTTTATGCATTTTCATGTACAACATAATATTGTTAACAAAATGTGCCAGAGCTACAATATTCATAAATAGGCCAAGGACTCATACTTGTAAATATATAAAATGTGAAATGATTTGGCAAAAATTTTAATATAAATTCATTTGATACTACTTTAATTATTAAACCACAACTATATAAAGGCAAATCACAAATATAGCTTTGTCAGTTTCAACGTTTTTATGACATATTTAATGAATTGCAGAGAATCAACAGTTCATCAAACATGAAATAACAGCACACTACAAAAAGGAAATAACCAAGTGTTAAATAAATTTCTGTCAACTTACCAACAAAACTTCCCAATGTACTTGTATCAGACCAACTAGATCCACTGCTACTAGCACCTGTCTGTAACAACAAACCTAAATCATGGGGCTCGTGAAGTTCTTGGAAGCCACTTATCTTTTGTCTCTTTCGTTTTACTTCTTCTCTATCTAAATAAGAATTCTCAGTTATATGAGAATGAAGAATACCATACTTTATAAGCATATTTAGCAAATTACTGTTTCAATTTAACAAATTAATGTACATTAACAAATAATTCAATATTTTTAATGGTGTATTTTTATTTTTAATTACTTTAGTTTTTAAATCTTTAATTTAGACCATTTTCAAATCAAGACATCCTAATATACAGTAGTAGCATTAATGCAAATATGTTGAATGCATGGAAAAACAAAAACTTGTTATGCATTCATGTGATAAAAATGGAAAATGGACACAATTATAAAATATGATGGACCTTAACCCATTCCAGACTGGGAGGGTGTCACTGCAGAACACAGCAAAGATTTGCGATTCTTTTGATGGAAGTGCCCAATGTCAAACCTTTCAACTATAAAAGATCAATCAAAATATTCACTATTGAAGACAGGCTAAGTTCCAACTTTAAATAAGTTCACCTGAGACAAATAGTCTTAGAGCTCTTTAAAGGACAGGTTTAATCACAGCAGTGTCATAATTAATCACGTAAATAATTAAAAGTTAAGCCTTCACTATTTCATAATTAGAAGAAAAATTACAGTAAGTTAAGCATACTTAAATTTATTAGACAATATTAAATTACCAAATATTGTGACTTATGAACACTGTGTTTATATCATGTACAGCTGGTGAGGTTAGCTTGGTACATGAGTAAGGGTACAATGGGTAAGTTTTTCTACAGTTACACCAGTCCTTTAAAGCACAAAATATATCAAAGATATTTTCCATTATGTTGGTAATAAACTGTTTAACTTTTTTTGAATCTTCATCTTTTGCATTTTTTTTTAAAGTTGATTTTCCATTAAATATGACTGTAAGTAAAAATTCAAGATGATACACTGTTACTTACTTTGTAATGTAGTTTCCATAATTTTATTACACTGTTCATGAAACAAGTTCAACAGCTAGCACAATTCAAGCTTCATAGCTCACTATTTAATTTTTATTCAAACCTGAATTGAAATTAAAATACAGATCTAATTATTAAAAAATGAAAAATGTTTTAAAAGTAACCAGTTCTGCTCCTTATATGAATTAAACTTGTTAAAATTTTAATTTTAAATTCTTAACTAAAGTAATATTTTTCAAAATTGGTTTAAAAACAACAACATCGGCATATCTGTTATGAAAGCAATAGTTCTACAGGTTAAAAATTAAACTTGATACAAGTCAATTTCAAATCTTCATTAATTCTTTCAGCACAGGCATTTTGCTTGTTATAGTTTTATTGCTATAACTTTTTAATTAGTAAGCATATCTTCACGAAATTTGGCAGATTATCAGTAAACATTACAAGGCTTTCATACACAAAATAACAGATTTTTTTTTATTAAGACTTAAAGTTTTTTAAGTAATGTTTTTCTCATGCCTTTTTTCTTTTTGCACATTGCCTATCCAACATGCAAAGTAATTTTCAGTTTTTAAGATTAAAAAACCTGTTATGCATCAGAACATTTTCAAATTTCACATGCAAAATCTTTATCATGTCCAGATAATTATCAAATTTTTAAAAGAAAAACTTTATACTTTATCTTTTATTTTCACTACTAAATCTCTGTATGGGTTCAGCAGATTTGACCAATCTCTTAACCACCACAAAAAATATTTGGTAATAAATATAAATTATGCTTTTCTCTTTCTAGAATGACTACAAATTATAACTCAAAAACATAAATGTTTACTCTAAATAGCTTAAATGTCATAACATTATACACTTATATATTTATTTTTTATTTTTATTATGTTGATCTTTCAGCCATGCCTGGCTAACATCACAGAAGTTACAATGATATGGCGCACATGCACTCATGTTACTGTACCTAATAATATAAAACTAACCTTTACAAATTGACCTGTCTTGGCTGTGTTTTAGTGGACTAATACTTTGTAAAATACAGTCACATTTCAGTTATAATACATTATATATGTATATACATTATTTCTCTTTTCAAATAAGTTCTTAAACTTATTTTTCTTAAAACATATAACAGTAAATAAAGAAGTAAAGCAAACAATTATATCTTCTAGTTATGAACTTTGTACTCATTTGCTGCTTGCCCATGGAGGATATGTAACAAAATAATGTTATTTTGGTTATATATATACATACATACACACACACATATACATAATATATATATATATATATATATACACACACACATTTGAAATAACCAAAAAATAATAAATTACTATATTGATACTATAGAATTAGGCCCAGTATGGCCAGGTAGTTAGGACGCTTGACTCGCAATCTGCGGGTCGCGGGTTCGCGTCCCCA